ACATAAACCTACGAAACACAACAAATCCTAGTGCATTCATCCTACCGTAAATGTCAAAGTAAGATTGTGTAAAACTATGTACTCTTCACAGTTGTCATAAGGTACAATAAAGCAAGGAAAAATAAAATATATTGCCCAGTAGGGAGAAGTCCAGACCAGGTTAACAGGCCTTCTTTTTCCTCCAGACGTCATTTTTTTTTTGCCTGCGTAACCCTTACAGTCCGGCCACATTAATGTTCTGTTTTGGAGGAAGGAGGGAAATAAACCAGTGATAACAGGGAAAGCCTCCTGGGCAATCTCAGCATTACATGAACAGCTACCTCTCTACTGTGCACAATTATATCTGTTTCACGCAATTATATCCCTGCCTCCTTCCATATTTCATTTAATGAAGTTTCAAGTGAGGCATAATGCTTCATTTGGTGGACTAAGAGGAAAGCCTGTGAGGGACACCTGACAGTAAGAAAAAGCATGCAAGAATTCCATCAAGCAACTACACCTCCAATCTAATTATCTTTGTTTGCTTCCCATACACATGGATTCATTCAGGTTTGTTGAAAGAAAAGCAAGCTAAGGAGAAAAAGATTTAAGTCATTCCATCAACTTTGACAGATTAAACTGGCTAGCTTCATGGACTCCTTTGAAGTCAGTGAAAGTGGATAAGCACTGGGGATACCTAAGATTCAGAAATTTAGAAGATAATTCTTCCCCATGTTATTTCCTAACATTTATAGAAGGATCTGTAGTTGTTGTTTGTCCTTTAAGAGAACCAGGACACCAGGCAGGTGATGCATGATTTGCAAATAGATTGGATTTAAGTGAGGGAGGGCTGTGCAAAGTCACCAGACTCACTTTCTCCTCCAGAGCCATCTGGGTCCAGTGGCCAGATATTCATCAGAGCAACTAGAGATGGCCCAGGATGCAGTGGGGGATCTTGTTTTTTTCAAGATAAAGTCTTTCCCAGGTCTCAATTTGTCTGAGGCAATGACCTTGCAGTGATCAGGGCTTAATAAGAAATGAGGCAGAAAATGGCCTCTTTACCTAGTCAAAAAAAAAATCTATCTGGGAGGGCCAGCCTTTAGGGTTTCTGGCCAAAATAGAAACAATTGCTATTTACATTCATTCTGAGCCAATCAGGGCCCAAACAATGACCAAGTAGGGCTTGGGAACCTATTGTTGGCCAATCAATGAGAGTCAGAGTAATTTGGGATTAAGGCTAGTCTTTAAGAAAGAAAAAAAAAGGTTCAAAGATTAAAATTTATATTCTCTTTGGGCAGAGCACTTGCAGGTAAGGGTATGATACCCTATGTGGACAGAGGGAATGGAAAGAAAGAAGGGAAGAAGGGAAGGAAGGAAGGAAGGAAGGAAGGAAGGAAGGAAGGAAGGAAGGAAGGAAGGAAGGAAGGAAGGAAGGAAGGAAGGAAGGAAGGAAGGAAGGAAGGAAGGAAGGAAGGAAGGAACAACCTAGATGAAGCCTAGCCCCCCAAAGAATTACTGATATAATGGAAAGATAGCTGGGTCCAGCATCAGAGGAACTAGGTTTAAATACTGTCTCTGAAGCTTGCTAACTGTGTGACCTTGTACAAATCATATAAGCCTCAGTTTCCTCATCTGTAAAATGATCTTTGTCTAGTCTCCAAAGTCTCTTCTACCTCTAGATAGTATAGTGAATAGACCCCTAGGCCTGCAGTCATCAAGACCTGAATTCAAATCTAGCCTCAGCACTTACTAGCTATGTGACCTTGAACAAGTCACTTAACCTCTGTTTGCCTCAGTTTCCTCTTCGGTAAAATGGGGATGATACCTACCTCCCAGTGTTGGTGTGAGATCAAATGAGATAATAACTGTAAAGTATTTTGCACAATGCCTGGCACATAGTAAGTAATGAGGAATGCTTGACCTTGCCCTTTTTCCCAAATGAATATGGGCACCTACTTCTTGAGGGGAGAGATGAGGAAGTCAAACAAACTAGATAATGAGAAGCCCATTATCTCAAGTACCACTTAAAGCCACTTTAGGAGATAAGAGGATTCTAGTAGTCAGGTTAATGAAATAGTAAAGTAACTTGGGCTCCTCACCCCTCTGCTCTGGGTTGACCAATGGAATAATGACGTGCCTTGATATGCTTGAAACTGAACTACTTTTGCCCCCTTGCCTAAGTGTCCCTGGTTACCTCATCTCCCCACCAAATGCAGGTTTTTCCTCTTTGAGAATCCCTAGCTTCTCCTGGTAGTGGGCATCTCCCTTAAGGAGCCATCTCCCTGAAGCAGCTGTCTCCTTGGGGGTGGGGGGGTATGGCCCTTGGGGGGGACTGTCTCCCTTAAAGAGCTGCCCCCCTTTAAGCTGAGATCTCCCTTAGGCTTCATCTCTCCTAAGGGGTGGAAGAGCCTACTTAGTGTATTATTGGGAATAAATGCCTTTACTTGATTTGGAGACAGCCTGAGTAAATTCTTTCAAGAGGACTCCACCATATATACACCACGCACCTCAACATTTGTCCCTCAACCTCAACAGTAAACATTATATAAATGTTAGTTATTAGCTATTATTTGACTATCCTTTGGGAGCAGCTAGGTGGCACAGTAGATTGAGTGCTGGGCCTCAGGAAGTCTCATTTTCCTGAGTTCGAATCTGGCCTCAGACACTTACTAGTTGTGTGACGCTGGGCAAATCACTTAACTATGTTTGCCTCAGTTTTTGGGTTTTTTTTTTTCATCTGTAAAATGAGCTGGAGAAGGAAATGGCAAACCACTCCAGTATCTTTGCCAAGAAAACCCCAAATGGGCTCATAAGGAGTTGGACATGACTGAAACAACTGAACAACATGAGTATCCTTTGAATGCTCATCGTCATTCCCTTCTAATCTAGTATAATAGAGTCTAGTTGTAATAAAAATATAAAAATGCTTAATGTCATGTAATAATAAGATACATAAACATGTATATTAGTTGACATAATATACAATATAATGATGCAGGTATAATAATCTAAATTAGATTTCTAAAACTTCTAAGATTACATAAATACATATACTGAAGATGTACCACTCTGCCTTTGAATTGAGCTTTAACTTTCAAATCATAGTTTAGCTAGAATGAGAGGACTGAGTCATTGCCTCAGGATGCCTAAAGGATGTTGATGTTTTTGGTAGTGAGGAAACACTAAGCTTAACACATAGTTACTGACTGAAAATAATTAGTTAAAATAGGAAGATAACTAGATCCAGACTTCTTATGCCACCCCCCAACCTCCACGTGCTATACTTCAGATGAGGGTTTTTTTTTTTCTGGCTGAGCTCCATTTTACTCTCTCTCTAGCATAGACCTCACGTCCCCAGAGTGTCTACTCATAGCATCACGTCCAAAGGTCCAAGGTATTCCCTCTTCCTCTTCCCCGAGATCTTCCTGACTGATGCCCTCTCTCTATCTACTGTGGAATAATGCTTCTCAGCCTCTGTAATAATGATAATAATGATGACAAAAATTAGTATGTATATGGTATTGTAAGGTTTGTAAAGCATTATACAGATGCTGTCTTATTTTATCCTCACAACTCTGGGAGGTAAATGCTGTTATCATTCTGTTTTCCAGATGAGATAACTGAGGTAGAGGAAGGTTAAATGACTTGCCCAGGGTCACCCAGCAAATAAGTGCCTGAGGTAGGATTTGAATTCAAGCCTTCCTGAGTCTGAGTCTAATGCTCCTTCCACTGTTTCACGCAGTTGCCTTTTTATTTTAAAATGTTAATAAGTTGAATGAGAAGTACCACTTTATAGTAGATGGAGAGTGAGCCTCAAAGAGTCAGGAAGATCTGGGTTAAATACCCACTTTGGACACATTCTCTCTGGGTGACTTTGGGCATTTAGCCTTCTTGGGCCTTGATTTCCTAATATGCCAAATGAGAGGGGTAGGGCGCATGACTTCTGAAGTCCCTCTCAGCTCTAGAACTGTGATAAACTTATGATCTTTGTTGGTAGAGGGAGTGCAGATGAAATCAGAGAGGCTTCAAAATACTAACATGAGTGGAGAGCTCCCAAATATTACATTACTGCAAAGTTCTATTGCCCTATTTTAAAAGTATATAGAGATGAACTAAGTTATGAAGGATGGGGCATCAGTGTTATAACTACATACATGTATATACACATCTATCTCACAATCTTATTTTGGTTCATGACATTTAAAATTCGATCTTTTTTGGTTCATATTAATGGGAAAGGTGGGCTGACAGCCTTTAATGGCCAACTAACAATGGGTCATATTTGCTCAAGCAATTAAATTGATAGGGTTTTTTTTAGTTATATGACTGTCAGTTCTCAGACATGTCAGAGTACCACTTTCCCATGATTTATTGGAGAAAGGGGATAACTATCTGATGGATTGTGTGTAACACAGGAATATAGAAAGTCCATGCTACAATCTTATCACCTTAACTCTCCCCTAGTAAGAGAGATACTTGTGCTTTTTTTTTGTCACTCTGATAATCTTTCTTATATGATTATTTCTTATCAATGCTGTGAATCCAATACTTTTTGGATTTTAATTAAATATTTTTATTTTAAATTAAATTAAATTAAATTTTTGTGATTTTAAAGTACTCCTGATACTTAAAAAAATCCTTATCTCTAATATACATAATGGCTAAAACACATGGAAAGAATAATAACAAAACCCCAAATAAATACTGTGCATTTATAATGACCAAGCTTGGAGCCAAAGAAGAGACGAGAAACTAAATTTTGCCTCCCTCCCCCTTTCTTTTCAGAGGGGGGAACTTTATATACATATATATATATACACACTGTCAAACTCATTTGATGTGTTAGCTTTGCTGAAATCCTTTTTTCTCTTCTTCTTCTTCTTTACCTTCTTCTTTGTCTTATTCTTCCTCTCCTTTCCTAAATGATGTCTTTCCAAGTAGGGAAATGGGAAAGGAAATATTTGGAAATGAAGGTCATATAAAAACAAAAGACAGAAATAAAATTTAAGAAAAATTCTTACCTCTAAACTCCAACCCTCGAAGTTGAAAGGTAACAAGACCATTTCCAATTTCAATTAGGTGGACAAAGGCATTGAGGTAATCTGAAGCCAAAATAAAGCAGTCTCCAGAGCTGTAATTACCCCAGCGCCCAAGAACCAAATCTCCACAAAGAGATACTTGAAGAGATCTTGTCAAATGCTCATAGAAGATGGAATTCAGATTGTTGTCATCATTTCCTTAAAGAAGAATCATAAGAATCAAATTATATTCAGTTGAATGTTTTTATGCATTACATTCTGTCAAATAATTATATGCAAAGAATTTAGAATTTACAGAGGATTCCATGCATTCCATGAATTAGATAATGCCTACTAAACATTTTGAGCTTATTAGAGTAAAGTGTTCCTATAAATGTGTGATCTTTGCACCATAGCTCATAAGTTAGCTCCTCTCCCACCCTAATAGCTGTAATGAACAATACATAATGTCATATGTCATATATCACATACATAACAATTTCTCAGAGTATAAGCTCTCTGAGAGTGCAAATTCATAGGATCAGAAAGTTAGAGCTTGAAGGGATTTTAGAGACTATCTAATCCAACTCCCTCATTTTACAGATGAGAAAACAAAGACATAGAGAATTCAAGGGATTTGTGTGAGGTCACAAAGGTAATAAGTAGCAGAGGTCAGAATGAACCCAGAATCTCTGACTCTGAATCTAGTACTGCTTCTGCTACCTTACTGTGCTACCTCTGAAGTTCAGAATCTGCTTTGGCTTGAGTATTCAAGGAATGATCACAAATGCAGTGCAGCCTGAGCTGTATTCCATGAGACAACCCTGTCACACAAACAACATGCACCTAATGCCTGCCTGGGGCTTCTGAGTGGGTTTTCATTCTTTCTCATCCTTAGGCTAACTTAAGCACTGGCATCACCATGAATCAATGTCTCAATTGATCTACAAAATAACATCATCATATGAATGTCCTCACCGACACCCAGAAGCAATAAAGAGAGGAATTAAGGTGTGATTGCATTTATAGCCTAATTATGATTAATGAAATGAAATAAATTTCCTATGAGCTGAGACAGTGTCACATAACCTCATAAGGTATCAACATAACTAAAGCCCCTGACACATTTCCTGCTTGACCTGACTACTGCATTCATTTGTTACAGTGACTCACAGCTTATAGTCAGAGGCTTATATAAAGCCTGCTGAAAGTCCGTGGTGCTTAGAATAAGAGACTCAAAGGAGTCTTAGTTATCCTCAATTGCTGATGTTTATATAGATATCTATATAACATACACAAATATATACAGAGATATAGATATAACTATATATAATGAAATATATACATCTATAGATAATATATCTTTATTATATAGATAATATATACAAATAGGTAATATATAGAGAGACTAGAAGATATATGTTAAACAATGGGCACCAGAATAAACAGACCTTTATCCCTTACTTAAAATACTTTGATAATATTATCACTGTTACAGTTACAATGGGGCAGCATTTGTGGTTAGCTGAGGATAACACAGATATGTAAGAGCTGAGATCAGAGCTGAAGTAGATATTACATAGTTTCATGGATTCAAAGACATTGATCCACCATACTTGCTAGATACGGAATTACATTGTTTTTTTTTTTAAAGCTCAACAGACATACATTTCCAGGTGAGTACCCATTCAGGTATTTTCAAATCATCATATCCTAGCCCTTAGGCACACAGGCTATACAGATACAGACAACATACCAGATACATTTTTTTCTTCCTGGGCACTAACTACTTTGCTGGTATCATGAATGCTTAAAGAGAGATGGTGTGGATGAGAGAACATTTGGAATTTGGGGACACAGGTTATAGAAGATTTTGTTGCTCTTTGGAGAAAGGAAAAGAAGAAGAATAAATAGATAGTTGAAAGAGACAAATTGTGGAGGAAAAACAACATGTTTTCATATTGGGACCTTTTGTAGACTCTAGGCCATGGAATCAGGAAAGTTTTCTCTGTGGAGAGCAACTTAATTCTGATTTGTTCAAGGTACTGTATGACTAAAGACCAATTGGATTTCAAGACTTGCTGCCTAAGTTTGGTATTTACTACTTACAAACTCAAATATCTTGATTAACAAAGTTATTCACTACTCAAGAGCTACCTAATCAATTCAGAATAACCAATGAATGCATTTCCATACCAAATAAGGGGGTTTAATCAGTCCTCTTGCAGAATTTTATTTTATTCTAAACATATTTTCCCCAATGTGCTTTGTTCCCACAATGATTATTAAAAACAACATGAACTAATTTCCCTTGCTGAGTTCCCAGCAAAAACCCATCTACATTTCCGAAGAGGGGAAAAGGAGGTTCTTGCCATACCTGGATCTTTTTCAATTTGGACTGCCAGCCTTGTATTTGAGTTGTCCACTCGTCTTGTGCTGAGAAGGGAACAAACCAGTAAAAAAAAGGAAGTCACAATGAGAGTTTTTTAAATTACAGTAGCCAGCTGCTACCTTAAGAGGTGGGACACACCATGGATTTAAAGTTAGAAGGTTCCTTCTTCCAACCTCCTCATTTTATAGAGGAGGAAATTAAGACCAAAAAAGTTATTTGCCAAAGTTGCACAGGTACTATGTGGCAGAGCCAATATTTGAACTCATCTTCTAGATTGCAATGAATTTGACATGGAATGTAATAACAGTCAAAAGTATTTGTTACCTTCCAGTTTGGTGATGTTTGGCAGGGGTAAAGTGGGGTAAAGCACTTTCAGGTGGAGGGAGAAAAAGGCTTGGGAGATAGAAGAATTTAACAATTGAAGGGTATTATCTCCTGAACATTTTAAGTGTTTGTATCACAACTTAAAGTCAACATCATCACAGCAAATGAAATTCCACTTTTATACAATATGGTAGAAGAAATGTCAGCCATATACATTGGGTTACATTTTTTTTCCTTTCCTACCTAATAGGCAAGGGAAGTTGACCTTGAATCTTGCTGGATCCATTGGACTTAATATGGATTTGCAGTAACCTAAAACCTAAAAGGCCAGCCTGCAAAGAGTCAGTGACCCTTCAATTTGGTAAGTTCCACTGTGATGTGAGTCAACATACCCAACACATTTTGTTGACCAGATATTTCCATCTAGAAATGGGGGTGAGTGGCGAACCTCTCTGAAGAGGTGCTGTATCCTTCCTGAATATTCTTTTCATGATATAGCTAAACAAACTACCTTTTGTTAACTGTTAGATGGTCTATGAGTGTGTCATTTCATTCCAGTCTCAAAAGTGAAACATCAGATCAGCCTGAGTCAGGCCTAGTTTAAAACATCTGCCCAGTCTAAGGGTCCTGGGCATACACAGTGATGCTATTTTACGACTAATGCCAGAAAATAATGCAAATGAATTGAATTGAGTTCTAAATGCTTTCTACATAGGTTTTCCTTAACCTCACAGATTAATAAAAACAAAATTTTTTTTACCAAAAATATATTATGATCTTGTTAGATAATAATAGATAAAATAGCTAGATGACACAGTGGATAATGTTGGGCCTGAAGTCATATTCCTGAGTTCAAATCTGACCTCAAACACTAGCTATGTGACCCTGGGCAAGTCACTTAACCCTCTTTGCCTCAGTTTCCTCATCTGTAAAATGAGTTAGAGAAGAAAATGACAAAACCACTCCAATATCTTTGCCAAGAAAACTCCAAGTGGGGTCATGAAGAGTTGGACAGGACTGAACAAAGAATAAATAACAATAACAATGATACACATTTATATAATTCTTTATGGTTGATAATAGATTTTCACAATAAGCCTGAAAGGTAAAATATTATTGCCATTTTACGTATGAGAAAACTGAGGGTATAAGAGGTTGGACATTTGACTTAGGTCTTGAAGATAGTGAGTTGGAATTCAAACTGAAGTCCCCAGGCTTCAAGTCCAGGGCTCTGGCATATGAATGTGGAAAGGCAAAGATGATCTTGCTATGAATTGGTTTTCATTCTAGATGCTTACTGAAACAGAAGGGTGAATAGTTACATCATACATCATTTATAGTTGATATTGCCACTAATTTTATTAAGCAGTCAATAAACATTGTGGTGTCAGTCTATTGACTAACAAGCATTTATTAAACAGTTATTATGTTTCAGGCTCTGTGCTAAATACTGAACTCTGACCAATGTAGTTTCCAATAGTGAATTCAGTGGGTAGATGGTGAAGCATGTTTCCCATCTCTCACTAAGAGACTGTAAGAGTCCAATGAGGCTTAATTTTCATCTATGGACAATGTATCAATTTGTATTGCCTGACTTTGCTGTTATTCTCCCCATTTTACAAATGAGGAAACAGAACCTCAAAAAGGTTAAATGATTTGCTAGTAGTCATGCAGCATTAATAGATAAATATTCAAACTGAAATCTTACCTGACTCCAAAGACAACATTCTTTCCATTAAATCTCACTGTCTCTTTACTCACTCAAACATTTAAGAGCCAGACAACCAAGAATGTTCATGAGCTTCACAGAATGGGCATGACAGTTGGGTTAGTAAGAATGCAGTGATTTTCCCTTCCCCTAACCAAGCAGTTACCAGTGAACAAATGTCTACTGTTGTTCCCTTCTAAGACTCCTGTGAGTAATCTTTGAAAATAAAAAAGGTCATAAGATTCCAGCAAAAAAAAATCCTCTTAATGAAGATAGGAATCCTATCTTTGCATAAAATTACTCAAGCAGAATTTTAATTTTTATCATAAAAGCTAGGAAAATGAATTTTTAGGGGTAGAATAAATAACTTTTAGAAAGGAGCTAAGCCAACCCACAAACCATCTACCAAATTTCTTCAGGAATTAGAACACTTTCTAAAAATCTATTAACCGAAAGACTGGTTTCTTCTTAAAAGTGATAGAATTCCCAGTGTTAAATTCCGTTCAACAATAACTAAACTAAACTGCCTGTGTGCCCCAGGGTCCCTGGCTGTCAACCAGACTGTCTAAGAAGATGAATTTTAAACTATAGTGAATAACTTGAGTTTTCCCCTGTGATTTCTTAGTGTAAATTTGGTGCTTACTACTCCAAGGTGCTAATTAGCTCAGTAATTGGATTTCTTCCTCAACTATACTATTCCATGAACTTCAATTCCATATCTTTTGACTGCTGTTGGAAGGGGAAATGCATATGCCTAACACTCCTGTACGTGGTGTGTAAAAATGCAGTTCCCTGAACGGTAGACATGTGAATGCCTGCATATCCCATTAGGCTACCTGCCTGACTTTTGCTCCAGCTACATGGTCTCTTTATTGTACTATCATGCTGTTCCATGGAGGTGGAATCCCAAAAGCCCAAGTAAAAGGTGTCTTTCTCTTCTTTATATCCTCATAGATACTAATCACATTAGTGATTCTCTCTTTTTAATTGCAGAAATTACAAATCTAACCCTCCCCTCTATTGTCTGCTATTTGATTCTAGGCAACCTAGTTACCTCCTGCTTTACATTATATTTCTACCTAAAAACAGACTCTAATCCAAATATCCTTCCTCCTGTATCCACTAACTACTAGTATTCACCTGAGGCATTCGAAGGATTCAAATTCCATTTTCTCTAATGAATTGTTATAGAGGATGTTCTACGCTGAGTCCAAAAGGGAGACAGAATCTGCATGGATGATATAGTCCTTCAGGAGCTCAGGTTTGATGGTGATGTTTCATCCAGGCCCATAACACTACAAAGTCCATTCAGTAATATTCTCAGCCACTCAGAAAGTGACAAATAGATAAAACCAAAGGGATGATGAATGCCTGTTACACACAGTTGGAAGGGTAATGTATTGAATTAGTCCATAAGTATACTGTATGGAAGAGACTTCAGATCCACAATATGCTGAGCCCAGAGCTGAATAGGAGGAAGAGATGAGGCCGGACTGCATTTGGGAAATTGTCTATCATTTTCAACAATCCCATTTTTCTAATATCAATATTCTTCCAGAGACACTATATTGCAATGATACATGGAGTACTATAATCTATTAGGGTTCAGACTTCCAAGTGAGTCATAGAACAATGGAGAGATACATGATGGGTGTAACCAGGTTGCATCATATTGACAGCGAGGGACTGTAAGCAAGAAATGATAGTAAAAAATAACATTCAGGAAATGTGTGATTAGAAAAGGGAATGGATGGATACAATGAGATCAAAAAGTAGACTGTCCAGATGGTACACTGGCACCTACAAAGTGCTAAATGACCTAGAGTAGAAGGTCTCAATAAAATTAGGAAAACCATATTTAGAGGATTAGGAAAGAATATGGATTAGAAACCATATTCTTGTGGACAAAGAACAAGAAAGTGCAGATGAGATTCAGCCTCTCCCTTTGGAATGGAGTACTCACAATGATAAGATCAGGAATCTCTAATCAATATCAAGTTCCACCATCATCTCACTCTTTGTCCACATTATCAATATTTTCTCTTTTTGGGAAACTGAGGCTGACAGGGGCCAATATCTTGCTGAGTGAGGTACATAGTAACACAGGGATGAAGCTAGTAATAAATTCTTAGGTTTATTTGGAAGTCAGCATCCTACACGAACTCTGAGAAAAATTAACCTGAAGTTTAAGTGGAAACATGTGATACAAATCACTTAACTTCCCTGGGCCTCAGTTTCCTTACCTGTAAAATGAAAAGCTGGACTTAATGACCTCTAAAGTCCTTTCCAGCTCTGGATCTGTGATCCTATATACATGTGCTCAACATAAGAAAAATGAGTTTGTGGTTGGCTTTTAATTTTTAAAATGTTTTTGTTGTCTTAAATAGCCATGGTTAGTCATCATTTCAAAGTAAATAGCTCAATACTGAAAGATAGCTCATCTAGGCCTTTCAGAGGACCTGAGGCAAAAGTAATTTTTTAAATCCTGGGAGGGAGCCCTGGGGAACATGTAACAGTGTATGCTACTATGTTATGAAAGAGAAAATGTGCTTTCAGTAAGAAGAAGCATGATGTTTCCTAAGTTGAAGTTTGCGAAGTTGCGATACAGTTGGATATGTCTGGGTGGTGGTTTTGGTAAACAGAGAATTTTGCTAATATCAGAACATTAAAAGGAGAGTTAAGTGCATTAGATGTGAGCATCTCTGTGGCAAAGGTACTTGGCATTAGTTTCAGTTTCTTGTGTATTATAATTGATTGTTCTAATAAGCTGAAAAAACACAGCAAGAGCCAAGCTGGTATGGTGCAGTATATCTCAAAGTGTGGTGTGTGGAGCCTTGGGAATCCCTGAGATTTTTTTAGGGGGTCTGTGAAGGCAAAAGTATTTTCTTTTTTTCTTTTAGGCAATTGGGGGTAAGTGACTTGCTCAGGGTCACACAGCTAGCAAGTGTCAAGTGTTTGGTCTGAGACCGGATTTGAACTCAGGTCCTTCTGACTTCAGGGCCAGTGCTCTCT